TTATAGTAGTTACTATACGACTCCCTTCTTGAAGATCCTCTTTTGCATGTTGCGAGAAAAGCCCTTCCAAGCCACGGGACATCCAGTTCTCAATGACAAAGCTTCCTCCCAGGTTCACACCGTTCTGGTACCCAGGCCAATGCTCCTCGGGACTCGCGGATGGTTTAGAACCTCCTCCGATGGCTGTTATAAGTTAACAGAACCCTTGCCCGTTTTGGGCGGCAAGCACCACCTACTCTTAGCGGAATTGGCAACTGCGTGGAGAAAACGAACTGGCACCAGCACTAAATTTGTACTGCGATCGTAGCCCAACTACCTCCATGTCGTGAGGTTCTTCAGTGAAAATGTTTCGAATCCTTCCTCCAAGATGCTTCACTGAAGCGACGTGTCAAGCCCTCATGACGGCGGAGCATCCTATCAATGCCTACAACACGCATACAGCACCCAAATCATGCAGGATCTACGCATGTTGAACTTCACCATGATGCGCGGAGCAGAACTCTTCCTTTTCGCTCAACCATTTTGTGTTCACCCACTGACGCCCGCCAGGAAAGCACTCCCTTAGTCCCCTGGTGGGGTTGCGACGAACGGCATGTCATTTTTCTTCTGCTGGTCCACCAAAGGACCATACTTGAGAATAACCCCTTAACTACGCATTGATATTCCAACTTTCCAACCGTCTCATACTTCCTGAATCCCGGCCCGATGCAAAGTGGAATCGGGAATCTATCGGTGATTCTCCCGTGCCCGAGGAGAAGGTCTCAGAAAAGGAGGCCCCTTTTGAGGGTTGTTGCTGAGAAGCTCCAGCTAGGATTTCAGAGCCGTCTCGATTGGCTCTGAGCCCGACTATGAACATGCAGCACATGAAAGGCACCCCAGTTACACATGGGGACCTCTTCTCTGAGACATGAACTTCACACGGAGCCCAAGCCGACAATTGAACTTCTCACGTATTTGGTCAAGTCGCCGGACAGCTGCAAAAAAAAGCAAAAGACACGCCTACATCTTGAGGGAAGCGTGCTTGACAGAAAATTGACTGGTTGTAATACTGCCCAAAGCGGGCACGGGCTCTGCTGTTTCTATATACCCTGTTTTGCCCCCGCAGTCTGAAGAAAGCTCCCATAGAAGGAAGGCGAGCAGTTGGGATTCAGAGCTACAGAGGCCCGGGATACATTTCTAGATCCTCATGAGTCTGATTTCTCTGAGACAAGGCTCGTCCATCCACAGCTGCTCTTCGGTCTTGGGCTTCTGATTCAGCGCCACGGTTGGTTTTGGGAACTCCTCGGCAACCGCTCCAGGGCTCAGGCTCGCGAGGCTGGCAGTCAGACCATCCTTCCGACTCTAGGCCTCTAGGTCCTCCAAGGAGGCAACCAGCAGACTTGCTACACTTCTGTCACTTCTTAAGTATTCTTGCGCCTGCTTTGATGCAGACTTCCGTCAGAGAACACTGTACAGTACCGCCGTGCACCGCAATGCAGGCTCGACCCTTCGGGGCCCGGCCAAACAGTTCTGAGTGCTTGGCAATCCCTCGGCCGAGCCAGCAGAAGGCGGCCAGCCACAGCCGGAGCCCACATCGGAGGAATGCCATGTCGCCTCCACAACAGCTTGGGGCTCCCGCTCCCGCGCTGGTTTCGGGGGGCTTCGGTGCAGCGATTACTTCCTTCATGCTGCGGGGGTCAGGCATGGCAAGCACATTGCACATTGCTGAGGTATCTAGTGGCAGGCCGCCCTCAAATCTGACTTTATGCGGCGGCGCATCGACATGCAGTCGTGGCTGGCCGCGTGGAAGCCAGACGATCACCGCTGTCATCAACAGATCACCACAACAACGAGCGCTACCAACACCGGCACCAACACCACCAGCAAGAAGAAGCCCTTCTTCGGCCTTAAGAAGCTGAAACCTCAAGCCTCAAGACCGCCTCCGCGCCACTTCGAAAAATCTCCTGTGCCTGATCCCGACCCGCACCTCTTCGGCCTTCGCCGCCGAGCCGTTCAGCAGATGTTTGGTCGAAGAGGTTAAGACCAAGATCTACCTGAACCTCCAACAGCAATTCATTAATGCGATTCTGCCGACCCGCTCCCATGTCTGATTCTACTTACTGAAGCTACCAAGCCACTGGCTGAGCTGGGAGCCCATGTCGACGGCAGTGTGTGTGTGTGTGTGTGTGCATTAATCCTCTCTGTGTGCAAGTCACCAACACCCGTCACGCCAGCCTCTGGCTTACGAATTGAGGTCTTAGATTAGGATAGAATCTGATGCTCAGTCGGAGGGTTGAACCCGGAGGGCCCACCACACTCAGGCTGGACACTAAGGGCGCACCCACCGCTGGCGGCAACCCGCCGAAGGGGCTTGTCGCCCAAGGGCAGCGGCAGCAGCACCGCCATTCGCCCGGATCCTCCCTCCGTGCATCGACATGTGAGAAGTTTGGGCTGCCTTCTGTGGACCCTGTGCTGAATCTTCGAATCTTTGGGCAGATTTCGTGAGGATATCTGGCTTGGGCTTGGGCGTTCAGCTTCAGAATCCTCTGTGCACGTGCGCAGGGCTGGGTTCGTGGAGCCAGATCTCTTAGAGCAGAAATGCCGGTGGAAGGGCGGTCTCTAGCCCTATAGTACTACTCTAGTTAGTCTAAAGGGCTGTAGCTTTCGCTCCTCAAAAGCTTCACAATCCTTTCAAAACGTCTGGATCTTACGAGCGAGTGAGGGGGAACTCCATGGAAGTTCCCCGGAGGAAGGCCTCAAGGCTTTCAACACAGAGAACCCCAAGCCCCGAACCCGAAATCCTCCTGGATCTCATGGCCACCATCTTTCCCAGCCCTCACAGGTCCCGAGCCGGTTCGGGATCCACATCAGGCAGGGACCTTAAGGCAAGTCCACCGTGGCAAACAAGGCCCTCCCTCTGCGAGAGTATAGACAGAGAGCGCTGCTGTTGCCGAGACCTTCGCATGAGTTCCAGAGGCTTCGAGACGCTAAACTCTTGTCCCAAACTAAAAGAAACGAAGCCCACGCCCAGGCTCTGAGACCCCAACCCCCCCGCCATGAGTTCGCGCCAACCTGGCCCTGTGGTCGGGAAGATGCCTTGGCAGCAGTTCACCCCTTTTCTACCGCTCCATGGATGAAACAACGAGTGGGCTTTGGAGCTTGAGACTCCAAGAGGCAGCTCCCCTCTCGGAAAGCACAGGAAGATCAATTGAAATTCCTTGGGACGCCTCTTCTGCTGCATCCGGGCTGCGGTAGGATCCTTCAAGCTGGGTTTGCAGAACCACCTGAGCAACTCAGTGGCTCTGCGGAGCAAGGATGAAAGTCGGTGGGCCCCCGATACAAATGGTGCTCACATGACGAGGCATATACGAAAAAGAAGTTGAACCCGAGGCGATGGGCAACGTGGCGATTCGTGTACCGGATTCCTGCACCTCTGACATCGGCAGATGACTCACACTTCAAACAAGTCAGGACAAGCGACAACTTGAAACACCAAAACGAGATGGTCCGACAGGAAACACTGTGAAAAAGACACGTACATACACGATGAACAAGCGAGCAAAGCCGCCAAATGGTTGAACCCATAATGGACAACACGCAACAAGGTATACCATGATTCAGACTATCATACTACATATCATCATATTCACTGCCTACCTCCGCTTTTCTTGCGCCCATGGCCTCCATGGGCAGATCTTGCATGTCTGCGAGGCCTGCGGACTTTGCCTCGGGCCGACAGCAGTGTCGGGCGTAAACACACTCAGGGTGGTTGGCTTTGGGCAGCTTAATACAGGGGCCTTAACACTTAGAATAGGGTTTCGGGGGCCCATTATACTATTAATTATAAGGCCCCTATGCTGGATCAAGTACCTCAGGTTTTGGAGAGGTTCGGCGTTTAGGTTGGCCCATCAGGTTCACGCGGAAGTTGGGATGCCAGTTCAAGGTGTGGGTTGAAGGCTCCCGCATGGCAGAGTCGGCAAGCACCGGGTCTCGGCTACTCTCGGGCTTGCCCTGGGGCCCTGGCCAGGGAGGGGAGTCACTTGCACGGTTCACAGGAACGCATTGTCAAGGTTACCGGCTTAGACTCCAGGAACAACGCCAGGATACAAAGAGTTGGCCCCATCCATGAAAGGATGGCATGAGCCCTCATCCTATCTCATCCTGATCCCTAGTGCCCTTGTAGCCGCTCGCTCAGGTAGCCCTAGGCTCATCGAACTCGGTGCTTCCAAGGATTGGCGCTTCTGCAGTTACAAGTAGGATGTTTGTGGGGACTGTGAGCTTCTTCAGGCTGAGGGGCGCCGGCATTCTTTGCAAACTCGCCTGCCAGCTCCTCGGCCTGACATGGGTTCTTGCTGAGGGGCGGCAGCGGTGGCATATCCGTGCAGCTCTACAGAGTCAAGCGCCCAAGCACCCAGAAGCCCTCCGACCTGCTCTGGAGTGATCGTGAATGACGCCGGGCCTGGAAGCAAGCGCCATTGGGGGAAGTTCTGCTGCACTATAGAGTTCGACGTTCTAGGTCTAGGAGTCTGGGACAACCTCGTGGAGCTTCGCGAGACTTGTGATTTAGCATAACTCGCCGATAGGAAGGCTTGTTGAACACGCCATCATGAAGTAAGCAGCAGGCTCATCATGATCGCACGGGAGAAGAGCTTGTTGGCCACCGGTGAAGCACAAAGCCTGCGAAGGGATGTGAAGCCTCTGCGGGCCTCCAGCAGGATACGAAAACAACATCAGATACCTCCTCCTCAGACACGTCTTTGCATCAGGCTTGTGGGATTTGCACTTGGAGGAACGGAACCGATGTCTTTATCTCCGGATTGCTGACGATGATGGGGCTGGTGTTCGCATCGACATTGGCATCACCACTTTTTCGCTACACCACCAGCAGCAGCAAGCAGCGGCAGAAACCCTTTCGTCATCCTCGCCATCACTAACGTGCAGCAAACCTCGCGAATGCCAGTGATCCCACTCAAGACAGACGACTGCAAATGCCCAAGTAGACGATGCGGTCGCAGTTTTGATCACTGCAGCTCGATGCCATCGACGGCCGACTGACGCGCCGCCAGGCTCTGGCGAGCGAGTTCGCCGAAGCCGCAAGCGCTCCGGAGGTTCTTGCTCATGTAGCCTTGCTTCGAAGCTCAGCGAAGGAGTCATGGGATCCAACTTGGTCCAACTCCATAAGCCTAAAGGCCTAGAGATCGGCTCTATGCGCGCTTGCGGACAAGCGACCCTTCAGTGACAGCAGGCTGCAAGATCCGAAATGTTGCTCAGAGCCAGAGTCTTGACTGACGGAAGCTTTACAGTAGCAGAGACTGACAGGTTCCCTGCGGTCGACATGTCCACATCACAAGTCTAGAAAACATGCGTCTCAAGGCTCCAGATGTCGCCTAGCAGCGGCCATCGTAATGCTCGCAGTCGCGCATCACGCAGACGAACAAAGTAGTGATGCAAACATCGTAGATTCCAGCTGCCAGGCGAGTCGTAACCTCGCGCCAGGAGCAGGCAGGCGGCTGGTGTCAGAAACTCTGCAGCAAGCTGCTGCCCAGAGGCATACGCCAGGGAAATGATGACGATGGCGCAGGGTGGCCAGGACCCCTGTGGCGGCGGAGGAGCTCGGAGCTCTGAAAGTTTCGGAGGCTGCAACTCGCCAAGTCAGATGACAAAAAACGGCAGCGGCCTCCGACAGCCATGGGAAGGCGACCACGGCCAGGCCCAGAGGGACAGTGACGCAAAGCAGGTAGCCCAGGGCCTGAGTGAAGGGCTCCAGAAGAGAAAGGTCGAGTCTAAGCCATTCCTCGTTGAAGCACTAGTCACTACCCGCAGCATGCTCTTTCCTTGCTTCTGTGTCTGCCACTGTTCAGACCACCTAAGACCTCTGGTGTTCACGTAGTAAAAGTTTCTGGCCGGGATGAGGGCGGAGGCGCGGCTGTTGCACATCTCAGGCTCCAAAGTGTCTTCATCTCCGAGCTTTGCAGACCGAGAAGCACCATTGCCCCACCAAGTACCCTTACCGATTCGGAAAGAAGCTTCAATGTCGAGAGACTGCAGACGCCATCTTGTCCATCGCAGTTTGCACCTGCATTTGGCTCATGGGAAAGCTGCAGAACCAACCCTCATAAAAACCCACATCCGAAGTCGAAGTGCTTGCACATGCCACGTGCACAGGCTGTCGTGTTGCATTGTGCGCTTCGAAGCGAAGCGACTGAATTTCTGACAAAGACACCGGGTACTTGGCGAAGAAAACGAAGGACGCATGAGCAGAGGAGCAGAAAGTCTTGCCAGTCACTGCCACGTAGACCTCGAGGGCGGGGCGGAGGATGTTGCTGTTAGCAATATCGCGCCGAACCTGGAGTCCTGGAAACTGGCAGCATAAACCCCCAGCTGCCCGTTGTTTCGGTCTTTGCTACAGCTGCTTGGCTTGACATAGGTCGAAGGGTACCAACTTCTGGCCGCGAGCATGTAAGAATGTAAGGCTGGCACATATGCATACTCGGTGATGAACTGTAGGCAACGCTCCAGACACCACAGGCAGCAGCGGCAGGCACAAACGGCAGCACGCACCACAGGGTTGGACTCCTCCGTGGGGCCCGCTTCTGAACTCAGTTGCAGGAGCAGTACTTGTACCGTAAGGCCGTAAGGGGGGACTTGGGCAGATGGCTCGAGGTCTGGCTCTACATGTTTTAGGCCTTAGGCGTTCAGGAAGGGTTCAGGGTTTTGAGGTCCAGGAAAACGGTTCCTGCAACACCTGTGAAGACATCATGGGACCCCTGACCATCCGACAAAGCTCTCAACTCTGCTCCTGGTCTTTCGTTTTCGCAGCGATGTACTCAAAGATAACTCCTGACACGCAGCAGACGAAGAAATTGTCTAAAGACATTCACCTCTGGGCCGGGCAGGTTTACCCTTGGGGCCCGCCGATGGCAAAGACAAAAGACCTGTCTTGTCATCGGGCGAATACGCCAAGAGATGCATGCAGATTTGGGGAAGGGAAAGTGAGCAAGGATCGCTGAAGCCCTGAGGCTCTGCATGCCGAGATGCGGAGCATTGTAGCGATGGCCATGATACCTATCATTACACAGCACTGCCACAGAACATGAGGAATGCCACATGACAGAGACCGCTCTGGAGTGGTGCGCAGGGCCCTGCTTCTAGGTCTCATGTGTGTAGGGCTATACAGTAGGTTTCGCTCTGGGAATCTTCACAGTCTGTGACGTCCACTCTGACATGCCCGGTGACAGGAGCCGAAGACCAGCGAGCCGAGGTGGTGTCGACAAAGGCGCAAGAAGGCCAAAAGGATAGGGCCTTTGCTCTTTTGCTCTTGCGCTGCCCGCTGTCTCTCTTAGAACTCCAGAGGCGACAGCCTTGCATGTGTCAGAGATGCAATCTTCGTAACGGCTTCAGAACTCCAACTTCCAACCTCTCCGGCAAGAGCCCTTGAAAGCAGCCCATATCCGTCGTTGCTCGAAAGACAAGGCCCAGTGGCGGCCGAAGAACCATCCTTCCGAGTTCACTCCTCCGGAGGTTTGGAAGGCGGGCGCCGCGAGAGGGGAGGAGCTGCTAAAAAACGAAAGGCCCTTCCTGTGCCCGCATTCCGCTCGGGGTCATTCCGGTAGAAGTACCTGAGATGTACTTGGAAGACACACGGGACTTACGCCTGGTCTCAACCGAAGCCTCGGAGTTTAGGGGGTGAGGCCCCCAGCGCCCAAGAACCTTCAGCCCTCGCACTAAGGCTTCAAGGCCAGGCCACCAGTGAGAGACGCACATGGCTGTGATGGCAATGCAGAGGGACACGTGGAAATGGTAGATGAAAAGGAACCTCAGCTCGGCCAAGCAAGAAATCGTGTCAGGCCCTTTCTTCATGCTGGGCTTGAATCCTGAACCACACGTCACTTTGGTAAGGCAGCGTGTGGCTGTGTGGCAGCTGCGAAGCAGCCGCCATGGCTCCACAGCCACCTGCCTTGACTCCTCTTCAGCTTGCATTTCACTGCCAAGAGGCACGAAGAGGTTGAAGACGAGGGCAGTCCTTGAGGCTTTGCATTTGGACAAGGAGTTCCGATGCGAACGAAGGATTTCCGAAAATTGTGGTACCTTATTTTTGGGTCCTTATGCTAAAGATCCTACTATTGCGACACTATTTCGGGTACTACATACATTAGGGTCACCAATTCTCGGAAACCCCCATATAAGCGGATTTCAACTCTCGTGATGATCTACCAGCCTTTCAGGTACTTACCCTGAACGGTGAAACCGGGAAGACTTCTTGTCGGAGTGCTGTCGCATCTGCGTCATTTCCTCTGCCTGCGCTAGGCCGGCAGCCTGGACGACTTCGGGTTTAGGGCTTACGCTTCAGCAAACAAGGCTTGCGACCAGCATAACGCATGAGGGTTTATTAATAGTGTTGGCTCTACAAGGTCCGGTACCAGCACATCTCAGCATACTGACAGCGATAGATAACGCGCTCTGGCAAAACTATGCAGACAGGTGCCAGCTAGCCAGCTAGTCCGGTCAGGTGTGTGGTGAAGGATGCTGCCATCGGTCACGCTCAAAGCTCTGTACGAAGCATGAGTACCAAGCATGAGCAGAATCCCAAGCTGCAAATGTGATACATCGACCTTATTTACCCGTCTTTGTGTTAGTGTGTGGGTGCGCGCGCTCGCGAACCAAGTCTAATCGTGGGTAAAGGAGTGCTTTCGCCGCTTTGCCGCAAGTCTTGGGCTGACAGCACCACAAGTTGCAGCTTGCATTCCATCATCTTCTAGACTGTAGACCTGCCCCTTGACAACCCGGACTCTGGTTTCATTTCTGCAGATCCCTAGTAGTTTGCATCGCCTTCAGCGCAGGGTGGACGTAAAGGTGCCAGGCCTGCCGGAGTCAGAAGCTTCTTTGGATTCACCGGTCTGAGTCTGCCGCCGACAACAGAGAGGGCACTTGGCAGTTTCGAGCTCTGAACCCTGGCACCCTTATTGCGGAAATCATCGATCGATCGTCGCCTCCGTGGTCCGTGGGATGTCCGAAGCGTTGGCTGTGGCGAAGGCCAGCGACACCTCGGAGAACGCTACAGAGTACCTCAAGGGTGTGCCTTTTTGGGAAGGGTGCTCGGGTGCCCTCCTCCAACTCAGCCGGGCACCCAGAGCATCACCACCGACATGAAGATCATGCTCAAGGCCAGCATGAAGGGGGCCAAGAGCAACGAGGGCATCTCGCCTCTGGCGCAGGAGCTAGCCTTCTCGGTTTAGGACCTTGCGAGCTGCCTTCAGCCGCAACATCTATCATATGACTATGACTGCATCGCCATATGAAATATTATGGCAACCATTATTACATACCCAGGCTCATACCTTATCTTATTACCTTCCAACCCTCCTAGAGTCGCAAGGAGAACCTTCCCGAGCCCAAGGGGCGCATCGTGTTGGAGGCCTCCTTCAGCAACGCCACGAGGATTTGGAGGTTTTTCTTAGCTTCGGAGTCAAGGGTAGTAAAAGCCTCTTTTACTCCTGGTGCCCAAGGTGGCCTCTCGTAGCATCCCCCAAGAAAGTTCATTCTAAGATCTAAGTTGAATTCCTCCTCAGGCTCAGGTCATCCCCGGATCCCAATGGACTCCCGTGATAAGGGGACTCTGAATGAATCAAGGCCCCCAGCCTTCAGAAGTTTCAGAAGCTCCCGTTTTAACATCATGGTGTCCAGGCTTCTCGAGCTGCCAGAGCCGCGCAGGCGAGCAGCAGAATGCAGAGCAGCAGTCCAACGGCTGACCTAGAGTCAAGGAAACTTGTGTTTCGACTTCGTGCGACATGCCCGTAGTGAGTTTGAGGAGCACTTCCTGCGGAAACACATCAGACAGTGCATGCAGCCACAGCCAAAGCCGGCCGAAGCCTCGACGGATGCAGCATGAAGCTGAGCGGCCACTTGTACACCTCACGCATCTGCTCGTCCTGCGTCGAATCCTGGATCAAGGATCCCAACCTCAAACACGGCGCTAGCCAGACACTGGTCTTGGCCCGACTGCAACCGGGCTCGTTTGGTGTCGACTGACTGTCAACTTAGGCCAGCTATCAACTTTGCAAGCATGTGGCTCCGCTGGCATGTCCCATTCCGTGATTTCCTTTAGCGCATCGAGGATCATCTTTCCTGTCCGCCCAGTGACGAGGCCCGCCTCCGAAGCACTGTGTTGCACTGTGAAGTGCTTCGGCTGTGACCCTCTCTGCTCTGCTCTAAGTCACCCGGTCTGGGCCTGGCGGAACAAGACATAGTCAGCACAGATCAACACTGCGAAGAGCAGAGCGATGAGCACATGCCTCAGGTGACACTTTTTGCAGGGCCCACGACGAGGACGATGCATTCGGCATCAAACACAAGCTATCCAGCATTCACTCAAGGTTTTCGCAATAGCGATACAACAATGAAAACTGAGCAGAGCATGCACGAAGCAACCCTGACAACACTGTCGGCAACAACAGCAGGAGCAACACCATCGACGGTGTTAACAAACAACAACGAGGTCCATGATGTCATAAACCGGTAGTAGCCCTAGCCCGCAGGTGTTAAAAACAACCGAACGATGTCAGCCAATGCGGAAAAAGTGGTACAGCACAAGTGTGGCTGAAAGTCATGCACAGCTCGCAGTTGCTATCAAGCGTCACGACGAGACCCACGCCTCAGCAAAAAAACTCACGGGATCCTAGCACGAAATGGGCTCTGGCCTGACATGTCAAGGCTTCGGTTCCAACCGAGGTGCAGCATGCGAAGCCCATGATGATAGCCTTGGAGTCGACTTCAAGTTCTGCAAGTTAGCTGCTAAGCAGCTACACACACACAGAGCACACGAAGCTGGCTGCACTTCGCAAGGTACGCTCCAGTCTCCGGGGCCAAGACCATCGAGAGGACCAGCGACCCCCCGATGCCCAGGCCAAGCACAAGCCTCGGATCTCCGATTTCTGAAAGCTCTTGGATGGAAAGGGGAGGAATCGACTGCGGTTGCTCCAATTCCTGGCTATTCCATTTTGGTTCCTACCGACATGGCGGGGCCCCACATACTTCAGAGGTTCACCCGAAACTTCTCAAGGACTCTGCTGTGGGAAATCCGTCTGGGGCGGTATGGACAAATTGGTTGTAGGGGGATGCGCTTCTCTCGGCAGCGGATGAACCGACGACGCCAAGTGGCCATCGATTCTCATAGATCCTTTTGCACCTAGGCTCAGGCGCGTTCTCCTTGGGATTTGCGTGTCTTGGTTGGTACCAAGCGGAAGCGCCAAGTGCAGTTGTCTGAGAGGTGCTGTGAGCTTCAGCCATATGGGCTCTCAATCGCGAGGTCTTGCATTGGACCATGTGCAACTGTGTGGTTCATAGCCTTCGAAAAGTGCTTGCAAAATTAAAAGCTGCCGTCCCTTTTTGCGGTGCGGCTTCAAATCTTCAAGCGGGCTGGACCCTTTCCAAAGGGGTATCAGGAAAATCTTCAAGTCCCCATTGCAAGTGGATTAGCTTGGTCAAAAAGCCTGCGACGCGTGACTCCTCAATCCGCACATTGTCGAACACACTTATCCAAAAGCTCCAGCGGCCAAACGAAGATCTGGCCGGTGTACTTCGTAAGAAGGCCTGCAGCAGACATTCTAGCTGCCTCAACAACCCTTGCGAACGACACTGCTTCAACCTACAGTCGCTTCAACTAAGAGTGGACCTGGCTTAAACTACTGAAAGACGACATCGCCACTCCTTGCGAAGCGGATCATGACACGTTCCTGGTTCCTGGCTACTTTCGGCATCTTTCTCTTGGAAAAGGACACTTAAGATGTAACGCCTCTTGGCCCACGCACCAGCTGAAAAAGCTTTCGAACTACGACCTGCCAACGGCGTTCTCAGCCAATCTCGCCCAAAAGTTAAACCAAAACCAGGATGCTGTAAGTGAGGCTGGCATCCACTGGCGAAGTTTGGACGCGAGTGTCCCGGAAGACTTTCACTTTGCCTGGACTGCGCAAGCTACGACTGGCTACACCTCTGCCGTCGCCTTCTCTTTACATTGAGTTCCAGATCCTGACCATCTAAATTTGCAGCTCCGGTCTTGTCCATGATCCTCAAGGCTATCCTGAATCTGCATCCTACAGATGACCGAACGCCTACTCACCACAATAAGAGTCCAGTAGGCACATATGTACCTCAGCACCCACTCCGCGGCCCATCTGCCTTGAAACCAGAGTTCCCGAAGTTCCAATTCTGGAGCCAAGGGGCAAGGCTCCGTCTTGTCCTGCGCAGCCAAGCGAATCCTTTCGGCCACCACCTGACTTCTTGGCATTGTACAAGTCTACGACTACGGCTGTGAAGCTCTTAGGGAGTCCTCTGTAATCTTCGGGCGAGTCCGGGACTGACTCCTCTACGAGCACGAGCTACAGGCATGTGGAAGCCATGGACGTAGGGAGGCCTTGGAAACCTCAAAAATCGTTGGTTTGTTCGTAGCTGCACAACACAAGCGCGAGGGATCTCTGAGACACCGAAGAACCGAAGCTCTGCAACACAGCTCGAAGAAAGAAGTCCTTTTCATTTCTTAGCCGGCACTTTGCGGCGTCCGCTCTTGCGTTGGCTCGCCACTGGTCCTCTGCGCCGCCACTTTCCGGAATTTCGAAATGAAGAAGCCTGGAGGGCGGCCGGAGCCATTGGTACTTTAATATGCTGCTTCCCGCCTGTGTTCAATGGGACCATATCACCCTGAACTTGACCGAGATTACAAAAAGCAGCCTGCCTGCATCCCACGCGCGAGGATCGAATCGCAGCACTTGCAGCCGCTCGGCCCTTGACCGCACATTTGCACTGCTAACGCGCGCTCTTTCAAGCATCCCCTGCATGCATTGCCGCTGAGGCCTCTTCGTTTGGCAGCTTAGATATCGGAGGCTCTGGGTGTTTTTCATACTATGTCCCGGCATCATAACATGGTCAAAACGGATGAAAGCATCCCCATTGAGCGGACTCCACACCTCACTCGAAAGCCATTTTGCTCGTGAGTCACGCTTAAGACTTACGAAGCTCCCACCGTATCATGCCACTGATGCGGGCTCTTCCCCTGCAGCCTATTGCCGCTACAGGTGCTCCTCATGTTCAGCCACCCTCCCCTTCCCGAAAGCTGCCCAAGGCACTCCGTGAGGCCACAGTTTGGAAGTCCAGCCAGGAGGGTGCTGCCCCGTTCCGCAGGGTGAAAGACCTTCGGAGTTCACTGGCTAGGGCGTAGCCCTGGTCTTCTTCACAGCCCATGCAGGCACACAACCACACCACGGTTGCTTATGCGACCCGAAGAGCCAATTCTGGCTCTTCCTCTAGGATTATAGGCTAAGGAGGTGGGGAGTTCTGGCTTGCGATGCCTTCTCCCTGGCATCCAGAAGCTCCACCGGCAGGGTTTGTAGTGTCCAGTGCACGTTCTCCTCATTCTCCTCCGGCGTGAGCGTGCAGGTGCTGTACACCATCTCACCTGTCCATGTCTCTGTTGCTGGCTTTCGCGCTTTGGGGCTTTACGCTCTCACAACTCGGACTCAGCCAGGCGAGGTTCTTGGGTAGGGTCTTATGGATTTTATGGCCAGTTTCCCACCTCCCACGGCCAAGAGCCTAACGGCTGTGCGGAGGAACTGTTTCTGGTAGTCGCTGTGGCTCCGGACCTGGCACCACTGAGCTAACGAGGGCAGCCGCAAGCGAAGACCACCCGAAAAGTTTCTGACCTAGTTCTCAAGCCTGCGCAGCAAGAATCTAGGCGTCTCTAACCACAGCCAGCAGTCATTGAGGCGCTGTGCCAGCAACAGCGGGCACATGGTGCTCGAAGTATCAGCAAGCCACCAGATGCACGAAGGATCCGGCCTCCTCCGCACTGATTCCCCAGCGCAGAAGCGGGCGCTGTCCCATTGCGGAGCACGAAGGATCCAGCAGGATCTTGTCCTTGCGTTGGAACGTCGAATGTGGCGTGGGGATTCTGTCGACAACTGTGCTGTCGGAACAGTCTGCAACATCTCATCTTTCGGCACCGAACTGCTTATAGACGCCATGAACCCACGGCATAGCTAAGAAGCCATTAAGTTGCACTTACGACTTACGACTTGCAGCTACGTATGCCGATACATACCGCTACCAATCGTCATTCGCCAAGCGTCGAAAGAGCCTTCCGCGAAGGGCGGGCCATCAGCCTTTGCGCGGAAACTCAGACGGCTGACAAAGGCTTTCTGGAGGTTTTGAGTTTGACGGTGCCATCCCTTCTGCAAAGGCGGTTTTGCAAAGGCCCAACATCGGACTTGAGGCTTTCACAAGCCCAACGACCCGGTTCCACAGAGCGGAAGCCCCAAAGCTAATCGTGCCTTCCCGAAATGACATCTTGACGAATCCTGCGAACTTTGAACATCCCCCTTCTGAATTTGAACTTTAATGCATGAGGGGTTTGTCCGACCCGCCTGTGACTGCAAATGTTCGATGGGCCGGAAACCAACTTCTCGTCTGTGTTCTTTGTTGTTTTCGAGAGTCTCTCGCTCACTTCTTCTTCCTACAGGACGAACCCGACAAGCAACCCCATAAATCCCCTCCCGCCCCTCTCTCCCTTCCTCCCTCCCTCTCTCGTTCTCCCTTTTTGTTTCTCCTTTTCTCGTTCTTTCGCCAGGGCTGGAGCGGGGGTGGACCCGCTTGCCAAGAAGTTTCGCTAAGCGCGCGCTCCAAGGCAAGGGCTCCAGTAAAGAGGACAAGGACGAGTCCGTGTTTCCAAGCAGCATACAAGCCTTTCAACTGCAAACTGTGCATAGGGGCGGGTCATAAGTCTCTCTCTCTCTCTCGCTCGCTTGCTCTCTCGGGTTCATGCCCGCTCTGTCTCTCTCAGTTTCATGCCAATCTCCTTCTCTGACTCCTCCTCCGCTCACTCAATGCCGTAGCTGAACTCGTAACTCCTCATCCCAAACCTAAAACCTCATGCGCACTTAAACGTAGGCACCCTATCAAGACTGACCACTGTCGACTTTCGGACGACCGGCTTCACTTCCGGCCTCTTGGTCTGAGACCTCGATCTCGGCGCTCGGATTTCGACCCTCCAGGCGGCGAAGCCGTGCATCCACCTCCGCATGCAAGCTGTCTGAAGCTTCAATATCTTACGTCCAGCAACTAACTGTTGAGAAGGGTGTGGGTCGTCCTGCGAATTCTTAAGAGAGTCACAAGATGGATTTACACTGAGTTGCCGCCTGCATCCTCGAGACGGGTCCGCGGCCTGCGGCGGTGATCACCGCCTTCCAGATCCGCTTGGTGCTGCGAAAGCGATCTGCGTGGTGCTCTGCGAAAGCCCTTTGAAAGGCTTCCTCGGCCTCGGGAGGCCAAGGCTCAGGCTTTTCCTCGAGATGGAGCTCCGGAGGAGCTTCAGCAGCCTCTCTCTCTGCTGCGACTTTGGAGCGTGGCTTTCTGCCGGCGGCGGCTTCGTTGCAGAGGTGCCGGGAGTCAGCGGCCAGGCACCGGACTTTCCCGAAGCCGTGGGCAGCGCAGAGCGCCTCCACACGCCGCACCTTGGCCCGGGAGCGGTCGATGGCCGTGAGGCCCCGGCCCTGGCCCTGGAGAATTTCTGCGAGGTGCGTTGTCTTACCTCCTGGTGCTGCACACATGTCCAGCACTCGATTCCCAGGACATGGATCCAGCACACGGACGCAGAGACAGCTCGGAAGCTGTTGCAGCAGGACCTTGCCATCCAGCTGGGGATCTGCAAGGACCGCATTCATGGGAGCCAAAGCATTTCCAACTCCTCGCCGCCACAAGACGCTGACCGCGGTGCCCTTTGTCCCCGGAGTGAAGATGGCGAGGCGCGACATCATCAAACGGCCCCCAGCCACCAGCACTGCTGGCCACTTCTCAGGAGACTCCTGAAGGACCCAAGGAGGCAAACCCAAGCACGCAGTCTCTACAAAAGGCCTTCGGGCGAGCCTTCTAAGGACGAGATGTCCACGGGCACCACAACAACCCCCCGCTCCTGCAGGATGGCCCCACGATTAGGCGGCTTCACGCCTTCGGGCACCACCCAAAGCCGGACCAGATGACCCTCCACTGGCTTGGGCGTTACTGCCATGACCCCCATGCCTTCCAAAGAGGTGAAACACAAAAGCTCGAAGAGCGGCAGCCCTGTTCGGAAGGAGAACCAAAAAGACAAAACGGTACCAGCCGCTCGTGTCGAGGCACAGAAGACGTCGGCACCTCTCAAAACGGCCATCGCGCAAGCAGCGTCAATGATGACATCGGTGGAGACCGATGCAGGGAGGGAATCTGCCAGAGGATGTGTGTGATCTTCAGATTTCAGATACCCTCCAGTTGCAGAGACAGCGCTGCGGCCAACAATGGTCCTCGTCTGGTGTTGGGTCCAGGCGCACGGGAAAACCAAAGCAGCTATCGCGCCGTAAAAGCTTTTTCAAACAGGTGCCCAGGTTCCGCGCCTCTGGACAGAATATTGGAGCAGGCACGTCCTCCAAGGCAAAATCGCAGCCTGCTTGGCGGCCCACCGCTGCCAGGCACTGCCGAAGATGGGCCTGCAAAGAGGCCATGGTCTCGGGGAGAGGTGCGCTTTTTCCTAGTTGATAAGCCCCTTAAAGTGTATACTTTCAGTTCTATAAGAGATCACATTACCCAAAAAGTGTAAAGTGTGCTCACTTAGCTACTGAGTTTCGGCCTTGGCCTATGGTCACACATGCCTATGACAGGATCGTGCTTAACCGGAAGTTGCCAGTGTAACAAGGAAAGCGAGGATCACAGGCTGGAGGCCTCCAGCTCTTCCTGGGCTGAGAGCGGCAGTCGGATTGAAACACTGGAAGGCGGCGAGGCTAAAGCTTGCAGCAGCTCCAGCACTCCTCGGCTACGGGCTTTGGGGATGTGTACAATGAGCTCCTTTGCCTTCGACTTCGCTGGAGGAGCCCGCATTGCAGGGATTATCAGTACAGCATGGGTCGGACGGCTCTCACCACTTTCGGACACAGGTGCGCAGAAGTAGGTTTGGGTTCTGAGGTCAAGCTTTAAAGAGGCCATTCCACAAGGGCTCTGGGAGACGCCGTTGGCTCTCAGGGCTTAGCTGACTGAACCGTTTCGGGACCTGTGATGTAAAAGATCACCATCGCAACACCATTGAGGGCTTACGGCGGCCCAGCCGCCATCGCTTCCGGCCTGGGCCCTCAGGCGAGTTGCCAGGATGTCCTTCACCGAGCCTAAACCCGAACCTAACTCCTCTACCCTTTACACTGTTAGACTGGATCCAATCCTCGAATTTCTCAACTGAAGCCGGGAATCCGCCATTGAAGCCCTTGACCCTGGCCGAACTCTCACCTTCTTCCTCTTAACATACTCACCCGAAATACCCCCCACGACCAGCCCCCCATCCCCCCACCCGACGGCTGTTCCCGGCGCCGCAAATTCGTTCCGTCTCGAGAAGTACCACTACAGCCGTGACTCACGGCTGACGCCCTTGACCTCCAACTCCAGAGACTACGAGCGAGGTCTACATTCGGTGCTCTGCAACAGTCCTGGACCTCCTTGGGCACGGCAGCTTGGGCGAGGCGTAGAAGCCCTTCACGAACAGATGTTTTGGGCTTGACCAACGGGGTTCGGACTTCGCAACTCGACTGGAGGGATTGGATTGAAATCGGGTTTCGGCACTTTAGGTTGCCCATTGAAAGCGTTATTGCGAACAGGAGGGCGTGGCCCCTCTGAGAGAACGGTGCCCCCTGGGTGCATCACAGGGTTCTGTGTGACCGTTTCAACAGGGGCTATGGGGCATGAATAATGGGGGGGGTGGCATCTGTAGCTGTCGGGTCACATCTTTCCCTGTCATATGGCTAGGAGGGGAAGCCTTGTTCTGCCTTGGCAGTCGTGTATATTGGCCCAGCTCCCCAAAGCCGGGGCGTTTCTAACCGAATCTAAGAAAAACTGAACCATGGAAGGGTTGAGGGCTGCAATGTGATTACGGCTCATAAAAAGCTTCCAGGCTATGGGAACCACCAACTGCTACCCCAATCCCCTGCTCCTGCCTCCGCCGCCATCACTGCCGTCTCGCCATGGCGGAGGCACATCGGAAGCCATGCTCCGGGTGGTGTGAAAGGAGGAGGGGGAGTGAGTTCTGAACTCGGCGGCCAAGGGCGGCTAGGGCTGATGGAAGCTCTCAGGGCCCGGAGGAAGGGTTTAAAGGTTTGGGGGTTTAGGGTTCATGTAGAAGCTCACTCTGCGACAAAAGGGACCCTGGGAAGGTGTTCGGGGGAGTTGGATTTTCAAAGCTTCGGAGACTCGGTTCTTTGAGGCTGCAGGTGCGAAGCCATCAGTTTAGAATCTGAAATCCCCACAACCTCGGTATGCCACCTAAGCCTTTCGGCCATCAGAATCCCTCAAACCTCCGACTACAACGGCACCTGCTCGTCCGCACCCTCCCTCTTCCAGCCGTCTTCGAGGATGTCGTCCACCTCCTGGCTTCGGGCAAGATGTCTGTGGCGGCGGTTGAAAAGGTCGCGCGGGCTGGGGAAAGTGAAGCCGGTAAGACTTCTTCACGAGCTGCTGGACACATGCATCGGGGGAACGACTCTCTGGGTAGCTCGAATAACTCGAAAGAAGCCTGTTGGCCGTGGTGATGCTTAGACTTATATGCATGTTCTACCAGTACCAGCCGCAACATCCTAGATCCCATGCACACCCACGCGGACGATGCAAACCTCCAATCCCGAATCGGCATCCCTTCGTGAAAGCCGGACACTGCCATGATGCCGAATATACACTTGTATAGACATGCTTTTCGGCCGGAAGCCTTGGTCAGCAGCCAGAAGCGATCCGTCTTGTCCTTGCGCAAACCGCAAACTTCCCGATAGCTCTGGGGCCTCAGCACACGGACAGAAGCAAAAAGCATCGTGCGTGCGACGGTCTCAACTCTCTTCAGAGAATCCAAAACAGCTACTACAGTAGTATGCTGGGATCTTTCCCCACAGTCTCGGCTTTGCTTTTTCAAACGTCAAAAACCCAACACAAACCCTATAATCCCTCAAAGCATCCATCAGCCGGTATCTTTCATGGCTCTTCGCTGCTTGTGGCAAAGCTTCATCCCATCTTTCGCAAGGCATGGTGGATCCGCGCAGAACCTCAAAGGAGAAGACCCGGGATTCTGCGAGGAGGGATGCTGGGATCCCTTCGGTTCGAAGGACGCGACGCAAGCGTCAGCGAGGCCCTTACCACGAAGCCCATGACAGCTCCCAGGGCTCCCTCCCAGTCATGATCGGATCTTGCTTGCAGCGCTAAGGAGCTCCACGGCCCCGGTGAATTCCGGTGGCGGATCATAGGGTATGCACCTGGGCAGAGGCCCAGACGGGCAGTCAGCTCAGCTCCTGGACATGCTGCTGGCTTCTGGAGTTCCACACGCCCTGCTTAGAGGCAAGTGCGTCCCAGGGTGTTCAAAAGTACTCTACTCTTCTTTTGAGAGGGTAGAAGACAACGGACAGTCAGATGAAGAAGCCGGGCACGCGATCGAGAGTCGTCTCGTGCCACTTGTTAAAAGAACTCGCTTCAATGTTGCAACAGAAGTACACGGCTCGCACGCCCACCCGTCGACGTGGGGAGATCTTTCCCATGCGGCCAGAACTGCTATTAGAGCCCCCTTTCCCGGCGTTGCCTGCTTGGGACAAACACTCACAAAACAAAGAACATGAACCTTCCAACTCCTGATCACCAACCGGAATCCTGGAAAGCTTCTACTCTGCTTGTGCCCGGTTACCGACCGGCGATGGGTGTGGTGGGCAACGAGATGTACCTCGGCTACAGCTATGCGATGAAACACTCTGACCATACCATCCTATCAGACTCGGGGCTACTTGGCTGGGCCCTGGAAACCGATCTAGTCAGTACTACGCCTGTTCAGTATGCACAATACCTTAACCAGCCTGCAGCTTGTTTGTGTGTGCGCATGCAGAATTATGTATCTATACATGCACACATGCACCGATACATGCGAACAGCCATACATGCATACAAACATCCCTGCATGCATGCATGCATACATACATACATGCATACACACATAGACGGCCACATAAAGAAGGTTGCAGCAAGCTGAGCGAATGAAGGCATCTGACCGAAGATGAGGGCCTCTGAAACCAACGGTGGAATGCCCAGCATATATATATATATACATATGCAGTGCAAAGCCCCGAGACCCAAAACGGGAAGTGAGCTCAACACGGGATGAACTACTTGAAGATACGATGATCAAGAGAAAGAATCTACGCATCTAGATTCGACCTCAAGAAATGCAAGCACAACCGAGCACCTGCTACAGTTCTCACAGCCCCTGCCGCGACCAACCTGTGGAAACGTGCTTTTTGCTGTCCGATGCTCCACAGCAGGGAGTCTTTCTTCTTTCGCAAAGCCTGGCCGCCCTCCTTCCTTAGTTCCAACCGCCGAAGACTCTGGTCTGTTCCACGAACCGCCAGCATGAAAACAACACATCAGGAAGCGAAAGTGGGGCGTAGCGCAGGATTCGCAGTGTTGTTGTATGTCCTGGCACGGCATGTTAAAGGTGGACATCAGCTGCTGCATTCCTAAGCCGCAGCTTTATCTCATTCGCCGTCCGACCGGAGACCCTCTGCAAAATGCAATCCCAAGTGTCAGATCACCCTCGTAGTCCAGGATGGTCTCAAACCTTGGTGTGATGTTCCGTCTGCTGCGAGAGCTGGCCAAGGGAAGCTCGTCCTTTCTTTCGCCAGGGCTGTGGCAGAGGGCGTGGTAAGCCCTCCGGGTGTTCAGCCCGCCCGATTTTCGCAGGCTTTTGCCGCTGACACTCTCTCTCTCTCTCTCCCTCTTTCTTTCTTGGACAATGCCATTCGGCACCTGTTCTCTCGATGAATCTCTGCTTCAGTTCCTGGGTGCTGCACATGCCCCATACCTCCTGTTCAATGAGTTCAATGAAGGCCTTTCCCTACCTGCAGAAGCCGAGGTGCTGCTTGGGGCACTCCTCCACACAGACACCGTAGCGACTTTGCAGCAGCTTGTCCTGACTCCGACCGCTTGCACCCTAATCCAAGCTGGCAGTCGGATGTTTCTGCAGTGTCGAGACACGCATGTGCACGCTCGTGTGCGTTTGCATGTATTCATGAAACCACTGCCTTCCTGTCTAATACGGGAGTCAGGTCGGCTGCATCGGAACATCGGTGAAACATGGGCTCACTTCTTCAGGTCATCGAGGTTGAAGGTGGCCATCACGGCACCAAAGCCTCGGTCCACCTGCGGAAGACGCATTGCAAGGGTCGGTTTCGAGGAGCATCCCGGGTTGGTCCACGAATTGGAGCAGCCTCTACATGTGAAGTTCTTCTGGAGATGAGTTCGCTCCAATATGTTTCAGGCTCCGAAATCCTTTTCTAGGTGCTGGTGGACAGCGCTCCTAAAACACTTGGAGTACCCAGGCACTAGGCAAGACGTACCTGTCTAGACCTTCCTGCTCAGCTGCTCTATGGGGAAACCTGTAATTAACGGCCCGAAGTTTCAGAGGCACCTCCTTCACGGACTTGCCATCCTCAGAGAAGTCCAAGCCCCTGCCGGTGGGTCTGACGCCTTTGCTGTCGTTGTCGGTCCATTCCTTGCGCAGAGACACGGCATCCCAGGGCTTGGATCCCGGCTTCCAGCCGGGAAGGTAAAACCTGAGCTCTTGCGGGTTTCGGGGCCCTTCTTGCGGAGGAAAAAAAGTGGAGTGGAAGGGGAGGCGAGAGGAGGGAGAGGAGGATCAAGATTGAGCCAGGAACAACCACTCTGTCATGTCGTCCTCCTCACGACTGTCTTGGTTTCGACAGCTCTTCACGATGACCCAGTCGCCACTGCGCCTGCTGGTTGTTGGGATCTCATGCTTCTTGTCGAAGCTGTCCTTGATCTGCTGAATTATTTCATCAGCCGCCGCATCAGTCAGGGCTTCACTCATAGTGTCAGCCTGGCCCCTGTAGCAGGCCGCACCCATATAGCTGTCGGGAAGACTAAAAGACTCCAGGATTGAGCCACACTACTGCAGAAACAAATCACCACGAGGCACTCGGAGGAGTTGCAGACATGTCCGTCATATTAGCACTCCAAGCATTGGGGTTTCAGGGAAAGCATCCTGACACAGACACACAAAAGTGCGAAATGCCCTTAGCCTCCACTGAGAAACAGTATAAGACGAAACATACCGTGCATGTACCATAATATGAATGTACCATAACATACTGTATGAGATAATGTATGTCATAATGCAGTATAGTTACATAACATACTACCGTATAGCGTATAAGTGACTGAAATCCGGGAAGTAGAACCTGCATAAAGGAAAGTCCTTCTTGAAGTCGTTCTCAAGGTCCGGGAAGGCTGCGAAAGGCTTCGCCTCACACACAACGACAAGCGTGCATACCAGCTCCGGCAGTCAGCAGCTGGCTTCTGATTTTTTGGAGCGCTCATGCTAAATTCTGATAAGGATGAGCATGGCAGGTGCAACTTGAGTCAACATGGCTATGGGTTGACGTCTTGCGTGAGTGTCTGAGAAGATCTGGGTGGAACCCAAGCCTCCGCCACATCAGCCCTGTCAATAGATGGGGCCTCCAACGGCTCGCGGCCACAGTGCTGGCCGTAGTGGTCACGACCGTGTGTAAGCGAGTAAGCGCCGTCGGCATCCTCCCACTGCTGAGTATAAGTCGAGGCGATCCGCAGCTTGAGTAGATGTGCGTGAAAACACACTGAAATCTGGCCAATGGATTGGGAACCTGGGTAAGGCTCTGAACTCTGCAGTATTCTTCGAGCCAGAAACCCTGCATTGTGCCTTCAGCCCGATGACCACGACGATGGGCCAGAGAACAAAGACCACCAGGACTGGGAGACCTTCTTTCTTAAAATGTCGGTGCAGGGTGCAGCTCTCAGCTGTGCACGTGGACTGCATGCCGAATATAAAGAATCCGCAAACGTACGTAAGGCCTGAACACTGAAAGTTCCGTGAAAATAACATCAACTGCTCTGTACGGGACAGCTCTTGATCTTGGCCAAGTTGCAGCACACATCCGTGCACCTTACATGCTGAGCCGTTAGTGAATGAGAGGACGCGACTCTCTCTCTCTCTCTCTCTCTATTGCTTGCTGGGTCTATAGCAGCAAACGAACCCATTTCAGCTGGAGTACCGGCGCTTGACATCCGGACCAGGATTTCCCTCTTGCTCCTCTTCGTCTTCGTCCGCGGCACCGCAGCACATGAGGACAAAGCCTTCCTAGTGAGTTGCAATCGATTCGTCAGGAGGCAGCGAGCTGTAAACCTCACGCTACTATAAGAAAGTAGAGCTAGAGCGAGGTTGTACCATGCAAAGCTCCCGTTCATTTGGACAGCGAAAGGTCTTGCGAAGATGCGGGCCGTTCAAGCTGAACCTGTTCTTCCTACTGCTGTATGGTTCCGTTTCTCAAGCAACGACTGAGAGCCCAAAGCAGCGGCCATGGGGGAGTGCAAGGAGATGCAAGAAGTGAAATCAGGCAAGTTCCTACAGAGTCAAAGAGTGCCAAAGGATGGGGCGCACCAATAGACCGAGTCACCCCCAGCAGACTGTCCCATGATTGTCACCTCTGGTTTGTGGGGTCTTCGGAAAGTTTCGGAATAGCATCGACGGCAAGTCCAGGTGAAATTTCTAGAGCGACAAGATGTTAAGTACAAGTGGGCTTCTGCTACCCCAAGTACTCCTGGAGTTGCCAGGTTGTAGACGGAAGCAGGAAAGTATGAGGTGAGTCGTGAACGAAGAAGAGCTTCCACAATCTATCAGAACACCTCTCCCCTAGCTATCAAGGCCACCCGCGTGGCGTCGCCGCCCATAGCCCGGATCTCTTTCTGTACCCACTGGAGAGCAGCGACCTGCTCCGGGGCATCGCAGCACGGGCTAGGGGGAACCGAAGGTGCTGACTACCGCAAGGCTTTGCAGAAGTGACACGCTTTTGGTCCTACTTGTACCTGGTCCCAAAGGCCGCAGTTCGCGTCGCCACCCTTGGGGCAAAGGAAGCCAAGGGCCCCCACGCGGTAGTTGATGCTCCTGGGCAAACGACAATCAATTTCCAACCTCACACATCCGACTCCAAGATTCCCAACGACTGAGGATGCCAGCGTTGGATATGGCAATCTCTGCTACTGCCGGAGATGCACTACCAAACGACGGTACTTCCTACAGCCGGTGCGGTGGGCATGGTTTCTTCGGCGAAGGCACAGATAGATGATGCCCTGCTCCGCGTAGCACTGGCCTTCTGAGCCGGGGCAACGAATGTAGTTGTTCGTAGTATGAGTATTAGTACTAGTATTAGTATTAGTAACAAGTATTAGTATTAGTAACAAGTATTTAGCATTAGTAACAAGTATGATGATTGTTGTTATGATAATTATTCTGATAGTACCCCGGCGTTTAGCCCGGGCCTGAGGAGCCGGGGTCATCCTTGGAGCCACCGAGAAGTCCACCGCCGTAGATCCTTTGGCAGCGAGAGGCTTTACGCTCTCACAACTCGGACACTGCCAGGCGAGGTTCTTAGGTGCGGAGTCGGTGTGAAAAGAATTCAGGTGCGATTCTCGCTTTAGGGTTTAGGGGTTCCGACGCTCACACTCGCTCAGGCAGGCAAGGCTCCACATAGTCCAAGGGATCTCCACTACTGCCGATGAAGGGCTGACTCACACACCAGCAACATAGGTAGCTCGTAAACATCAAACCACTCATCCCTTCACGGCTGTCTAGGCTTACGAGGAGGGCAGAGCCCCTGTTTCAAAATGCTACAGCACTTCCTCGTTCCCGAGCCTTACCAGCAAAGGAGTTCTTCCTATCCGCTCCCGTTGGACCTCAAGAATTAACAGAGACTGACCTTTATTTGACTTAGCCTGAGGCTGATAAAGAGCAAGTCCTCCTGGCCTCAGATTCCAGCAGGAAACTCGGCAGCTGTTTGGCCCAGAACATTGTCGGGCACACGGCGGCTATTGTGGTGTGGCTTCTCGACACCCTGACTTCGGGCTTGCGTGTGAATCTAACTCGATTTTCAGGTTGCAAAGCCACTAACACGAAGACTGACGGCGTAGGGTTACGAGAAGCGTGTCATGCAGAAGAGAAGAGCAAACAATTCGGTGGCTGCCCGTGCTAGCGTTACATCACAACCTCCATACTTAGACACGGTAACTTGCCAAAACTCCGGTCAGCATGGGACATTTCGGTCGAGGTTCACTCTACCCAAGTCAAGCGCGGGCAGCAACCTCTAGACAAGGTCTTGCGGAAAGCCAAACAAAAAATGCGAGGAGAGGATCCAAAAAAGAGAGGCCAGCGAACAGAGCATGCAGGACGTATGAAGAACGCTTGCGAAGAACATGTTCCTGGACGTGGGGAATCCTAGGTCGGCCCTCACCGGGATCCCCTCAGCACTTGTCCGCGCTGCTGCGTGGCTTCTCATTGCAAGTAAAGGTGTTTTGGGCTTGGGTAGTTCCGCTGCAGCGAACGGAATACACATAACCATCACCGTAACATACTCGGCGCGGCCGTCAGAAGCCATGCAGTTGCCGGTGCTTGCACAAATTGCAGGCAGATGCGATCTCGGTCAACGGGACCTTGTCCACCGGAAGTGGTTCAGGACGCGGTTGCCCCCAGTCCGTGAGCATCTGTAATGAGCTGGAGGTGATCTGAAGGTTCCGCGCTAGGTGCTCGAGGTGCCTCACCAGCTCTTTTCGCCGCTCCAGACTTGAAAAGTCGTTCATTTCCTCATCTAGGAATCTGTCTCTCAAGAAACAAAGCTTCTCCATGCTGCGGCTGAGTCGGTAGGCAGCGTACTCCTTGTCGAGGAGAGCGTGATCGGTGTAGTTACGTGCCAGATGAAGATCCACCGTATCCTCTTCGAGGCTCTCCACTGCCAACGTATCTTTGCTGCAAAAGGAGATGACAGAGACAATGCGCGTCCAGTTCTCACTGGCATTCGCAGCGTGCAACACCCGCTTGCCCTGCATGACGTACGCCCATCCAGGACCCGGTGCCCGGACCTCGTGTGCAGTGCCGGTTGCGTCCTGCATCAATGTGCCGCCACCCCGGGCGTCCTCTGGGAGTTCGGAGAGATTGACAAGCAGGACGAAGCTGTTGGAGTCGTTGTGCCAATCGAACACCTTCGTGGCCTCCTTCCCTTTCATCTGGATATTGGTCATCATGTGTTCCACCTTGAAGGGGTGCCACACAAGATCGCAACCAACCATGTTGGAGCAAGCTCGCAACATGGCCTCGGAAGTGCTCATCTGTCGGATGAACTTGTTGTGGGCAGCCATGTTGCGGATAGTCAGAGGCACCATGTGGCAAGAGTAGTAGCAGTTCTGCAGCACAGGCTTCGACAGGAGCGCTTCCCGATATAGCCGAAGACCCTCCTCAGAGAGCAGTCGAAAGGGCTCAGAGTAGCCGAAGTCAATCTCGCCCGGCGCCACCTTGTAGCCCATCTCTGACAGCTTGTGCACGCGGATGCCAGCGAGGTCGAGGGCAGACAAGTTCACATGCCGGGTGAAGTCGAAGTCTGGCCCCTCGTCCTCTGCTGTCGGCGAGTGCGCGAGAGACTCCATCCTGACGGCGTTGGCCATCGGAAAGCCTGGCGTTCGCAGAGTGTCAGCCGCCATTGTGGCCTTCATGCGGCAGCTGCGGATCGGCGTGGTCCGCAGGCCCCCAAACACGCAGGATTGCAAGAGTCTGGGAAATTGCTTCATTCTCGCTTGCCTTGCTTGTGCAGCAGTGGAAGAGGAGCGGCACAGGGCCAATGGCGAGTGGAAGTAAGACGAGACGCAAAAGACCGTTCTCCACAGTGTGCAAAATTCTAAAACTACGTGGTTTTTTCTTTGGATAGATCGCTCGCATGTGTGGAATCGGGCCGACATCTTGAGCCAAAATGGCTACTGGGTGAGGGGTTCTTCAGTTGGCAAACTTTCAGCTCCAGGAGTCTTCAAAATCCAAGTCCTGCCACTGACTCACGACGCTTGAGCGCTACCCTTCTCGAAGCTCTGACAACAACACAGGGAGGACACTGAGGTCTCATGCTCCCTTGACATCTGAATTACCGCCATGAGAGGTACTCACCTCTTTCCATCTTGAGCCCAAGAGCAGCCAAGGATCCAAACTAGAACTGGAAGCAGCGGCTTTCCAGATCTCTCTGCCGTGCCCTTGGGCAGCCAAAGGTCAAGGTACAGGCAGTCTTCCTTGCAAAGCAGGAGGGGGTCCCCACACTCTACCGCAGCTTGTCGACGGATATCCGGATCTGGTCTTCGCGTGAAGTCCGAACAAAGCTCTTAGCGGATCAGTCTTAGCTTCTCGGCTTCCGAGCGTCCGTCGGGAGCCGATCCGTCGACCTCGGATCCACCCACTGCACGGGTCGCCCTCGACGGTCATCCGCAGGCCGGTGGCTGGTGCAGTCCAGCTCCTGAGCTGCGCCTTCTCCACGAGAAGGGAATGAAGGTATGTTCATATGTATATATATATATATATGTTCATATATATCCGCCGACCCCTGCGGGCGGCGCCCGTGATATCCCGAGAGGTGTCCGCACCCACACCGCTTCCACCGCCTCCACCGCTCTGTTCAGAGAGTCTTTCTCCGCTGTAGTTGTAGGTGTTTAAAGAGTATGTAAAGGCTGCCAATGTGTGCCCGGACCTCTCCGCGCCCCCACTGCCCCCACCGTCCTCACCGCCCCCACCGCCCTCACAACCTCCACCACCGCCCTGTTTAAAGAGTCCTTCACCGCTGTATTTGTAGGTGTCAAAAAAAAAATAAGAGTATTTAAAGGCTGCCAATGTGTGCCCAGACCCCTCCGCGCCCACACCGCCCCTACCGCCACCGCCGCCCTTACTTTTACAAAGTATTTAAAGGCTGCCAATGTGTGCCCGGACCCCCCCGCGCCCCCACCGCCCACACCGCCCCCACCGCCCACACCGCCCTCACCGCCCTCACCACCTTCATCCCCCTCCACCGCTTTCACCGTTCCCACCGTCTCCACCGCTCTCACCGCCCGCTGTATTTGTAGGTGTTTAAAGAGTAAAGAGTATTTAAAGCCTGCCGATGTGTGCCCGGACCCCCCCGCGCCCCCACCGCCCACACCGCCCCCACCGCCCACACCGCCCTCACCGCCCTCACCACCCCCACCACCTTCATCCCCCTCCACCGCTTTCACCGTTCCCACCGTCTCCACAGCTCTCACTGCCCGCTGTATTTGTAGGTGTTTAAAGAGTAAAGAGTATTTAAAGGCTGCCAATGTGTGCCCGGACCCCCCCGCGCCCCCACCGCCCACACCGCCCCCACCGCCCACACCGCCCTCACCGCCCTCACCACCCCCACCACCTTCATCCCCCTCCACCGCTTTCACCGTTCCCACCGTCTCCACCGCTCTCACCGCCCGCTGTATTTGTAGGTGTTTAAAGAGTAAAGAGTATTTAAAGGCTGCCGATGTGTGCCCGGACCCCCCCGCACCCCCACCGCCCACACCGCCCACACCGCCCCCACCGCCCACACCGCCCTCACCGCCCTCACCACCCCCACCACCTTCATCCCCCTCCACCGCTTTCACCGTTCCCACCGTCTCCACCGCTCTCACCGCCCGCTGTATTTGTAGGTGTTTAAAGAGTAAAGAGTATTTAAAGCCTGCCGATGTGTGCCCGGACCACCCCGCACCCCCACCGCCCACACCGCCCACACCGCCCACACCGCCCCCACCGCCCACACCGCCCTCACCGCCCTCACCACCCCCACCACCTTCATCCCCCTCCACCGCTTTCACCGTTCCCACCGTCTCCACCGCTCTCACCGCCCGCTGTACTTGTAGGTGTTCAAAGAGTAAAGAGTATTTAAAGGCTGCCAATGTGTGCCCGGACCCCCCCGCGCCCACACCGCCCACACCGCCCACACCGTCCCCACCGCCCACACCGCCCCCACCGCCCACACCGCCTTCACCGCCCTCACCACCCCCACCACCTTCATCCCCCTCCACCGCTTTCACCGTTCCCACCGTCTCCACAGCTCTCACTGCCCGCTGTATTTGTAGGTGTTTAAAGAGTAAAGAGTATTTAAAGGCTGCCAATGTGTGCCCGGACCCCCCCGCGCCCCCACCGCCCACACCGCCCCGACCGCCCACACCGCCCTCACCGCCCTCACCACCCCCACCACCTTCATCCCCCTCCACCGCTCTCACCGCCTGCTGTATTTGTAGGTGTTTAAAGAGTAAAGAGTATTTAAAGCCTGCCAATGTGTGCCCGGACCCCCCCGCGCCCCCACCGTCCGCACCGCCCACCCACACCGCCCACACCGCCCCCACCGCCACACCGCCCTCACCGCCCTCACCACCCCCACCACCCCCTCCACCGCTTTCACCGTTCCCACCGTCTCCACCGCTCTCACCGCCCGCTGTATTTGTAGGTGTTTAAAGAGTAAAAAATATTTAAAGGCTGCCAATGTGTGCCCGGACCCCCCCGCGCCCACACCGCCCACACCGCCCACACCCCCCACCGCCCACACCGCCCTCACCGCCCTCACCACCCCCACCACCTTCATCCCCCTCCACCGCTTTCACCGTTGCCACCGTCTCCACCGCTCTCGTAGGTGTTTAAAGAGTAAAGCGTATTTAAAAGCTGCCGATGTGTGCCCGGACCTCCCCGCGCCCCCACCGCCCACACCGCCCCCACTGCCCACACCGCCCCCACCGCCCTCACCACCCCCACCACCTTCATCCCCCTCCACCGCTTTCACCGTTCCCACCGTCTCCACCGCTCTCACCGCCCGCTGTTTTTGTAGGTGTTTAAAAAGAGTATTTAAAGGCTGCCGATGTGTGCCCGGACCCCCCCGCGCCCCCACCGCCCACACCGCCCTCACCGCCGTCACCACCCCCACCACCTTCATCCCCCTCCACCGCTTTCACCGTTCCCACCGTCTCCACCCCTCTCACCGCCCGCTGTATTTGTAGGTGTTTAAAGAGTAAAGAGTATTTAAAGGCTGCCAATGTGTGCCCGGACCCCTCCGCGCCCACACCGCCCACACCGCCCCCACCGCCCACACCGCCCAC